GGGTTGAAGGGGGCTGAAGGTGATGGCTGAGAATTGGATGGGATATTATCATTATCTAAGGGGTGAATAGGGGATGGGGGAGGAGAGTGAGTCGATGTACCTGAAAGAGGTGAGTTAAATCTGGATTTGTATATGGCTTGAGATTCTTGAACCTTCATCCATTCACCGAATTGTCCCTCCTTTAACTTGCCTTCATTAATATTTGTTGTCCTCTTGGAACATGTTCTGTCCAAGTGACCAATCTTCCCACAATAAAAGCATAAGTTAAGGAGCTTTTCATATTTGAAGATAACCCTTGGACTTTATCTCCTAGTTGAACATTAGTGCACCTGAGCAGAGGTTCTTGTAGATCAATAGTTGCCAAGAGTTTAAGGCATCTGCCATTTTCAGTATTCGAGTTGCAGATAATAACATCTTTTGTCTTTTGAAGGCATTGCCGAGTTTGAGACCCACTTCCGAGCTTAACCAATTGAGGGGTATGCCATCAGCTTGGCTAAATTGCAAAAACTAGCCACTAACTTAGACATGTTGGCAGTTTTAGTCACCTTCTTTCCATTTTGGCACTTTTAGCCAAAACATTTTAAAAAATCGGTCTTTCTACCCAAATTCGGCCGAAGTCGTCGGAACTCCGCCTACGAACACCGACAATTCCAACGTGGAACTACACGTGGACATCTTAATCCACCTCGGCTCATCTGTCTATAAATACCCCTTCGACGCGTATCACCCTCACATTTCACAGAAAAAAATTGGGAAAAATCGAGCCCAATTCTCTCAATTTCTCTCTCCTCTAATACTCTCTCCCTCCCCAATTCTCATCTCCCTTATCTATCTAAAAAAAATACAGAAAAATACTACAAAAATCTAGAAAAAAATTGAGTTCGTAACATATACCAACCTTCAAGTCCATAATAATTGAAAAGTAAATAGAAATCGATACATACCATGGCTGATTGGGAACTCTTTTGCTTCTTGTCGACTTGAAGATGGCGGCCTTCTGGAACGACAAATGAGATTTGTAACGATAGTAATCTCCTTTTTGGTGCTTATTGGGCGCAATAAAGTCTGTAGGTGGATCTTGAAAATTGTATTACAATATTACATTCGTCAGATATTATTATATTTCTTTTTTCTTTCTGGAAATTACTATTGATTTAGAATTTGGAGTGTCTTAATAAATTGAAAAAAAAAGATCTACGAGATTGAATGGAAGAGTGAGGAACCATGAATATAATTTCGTTTGTTTGATTCGAAATGGAGTCTCTTCCAGTGGAGGTCGTTGGGAACATCCTATCGCGGCTCGGGGCCGCCCGTGATGTCGTGATTGCATCTGCCAATTTTAGGGTTTCGAATTTGGGCCCGATTTTTCCCCCTTTTTTTCTGTGATATGTGAGGGCGATACGCATGGAAGGGGTATTTATAGACAGGTGAGCAAAGATGGATTAAGTTGTCCACGTGTAGTTCCACGCTGGCAGTTTCGGTGTTCTCAGACAGCGTTCCGACGACTTTGGCCGGATTTGGGTAAAAAGACCAATTTTTTAAAATGTTTTGGCTAAAAGTGCCAAATGGAAAGAAGGTGGCTAAAACTGCCAACCCGTCTAAGTTAGTGGCTAGTTTTTGCAATTTAGCCCCATCAGCTTGGACCCACAAGTCCATTTCAGAGAAGCATTCATGGTCAGCATGTATGTCATCCTGCCATTCTTTGAGGAGAAGATATTGATTCTCGAACGACCAATTTTTACCACCTGCAACCTTCTTTCTGTCCATTGGGTCCTCGAAGATGAATTAGAAGAAGTTATGCTGTAATTCCCTAACAACCATCTGATTTCTAAGATGCGATATTTGCGTCATGGTTTTCCGGAGGCCGTATAGGTGGGCTTTCCTATCTCCGATAATTTTCTGAAATAGGATGCGCTCGCTTTCTATTGCACTGTTTGTTATATCTCTGTTCTGCAGCGGAATAATATTTTCCTCTTTATGGCTGAGATCGCAATCTTTGAGTTTCTGCTCTAGAGAATCCATGGGATCTTTAATAAAAGGGTGCGATGTAGGAGAGTAGGAGAATGAGAGACTTGATGAGCTTTCTTTCCCAGAAGACCTGACAAGGAGAAAAGAGGAAGCAACAAACGCAAACCAGAGAACCCTAACCCTAATAAAAGACCAAATGAAAAATGGCTAATTACAAAAAGGGGATACGTAAAACACAAGAATAGGGCTAATAACACAGGAAGGAGATGAGCAAAACACAGAGTTACCAAGCATTAAAGATTGGAAATGGTGGTATGGCTTCAACGAAGGAATTGCGGCTCTCACGCGAGAGAAGACGACTCCCATATGAGAGAATTTTTTTTGCCACATCTAACTTTTTTCCATTCGCCTCATTGTCTAGTGGTGGCAAATTGGGAGAAATTTATAGATGAATACTAGTACGAGTCTCGTGCGATGCACGGGTAAAAGATATTCATTAATATTTATAATTAAAAATATGGAATCAATATGTAATACAATTTACCTATATTATTTTATTAAAAATTTTATACGGATTTTAAATTGTGAAAAATTACTTAAAACATGTATATTTAAAATTAGTACACAACTCATATAGTGCACGTAACTGATAATAATTTACATTATTTTCATTTCAAAATAAAAGTCATTATAAAATTGTGATGATCAGGAGATTCTCCAACACCATGCCAGGGAATTCTTTATCCATCGTTTTTCTTCATAAATTCGAGTTGATTACAATTTGACTCCATAAAATAAGTATTTTAGTAAAATTTTATCATCTATTTTAAAATATATGTGAATAATATGTGTACATATAAAAATTATATTTTTAATTAATTAAAATAAAATTATTTTTGTACAAATTGTTCAAATAAAAAAATTAAGTAGTTGAATAATTTATTAAAATTTAAATAATTGAATATTCTATTTACGTCCAAATTAATATTGACTCGTAAGTTATGAATAATTATTTATTTGTCTTTTAATTTTATAACCTAAATTTGGACAACACAATAATTCTATATATTTCACACACACCCACACACACACAAATACACACATATTTGTATTCAATTATCTTAGCGTTCAAATTTATCAACTAATTCTCAATAATTAAATTATAAATTTAAATTGTATTAACCAATATTTCTTCAAATGTCTTTCTGATTTCAAGAAGAGTACACACCAATTTGCCAAATTATCATCGATATGTTATGGAAAATTATTTTGGGAATATGCTAAAAATTAAGATTCATATCTCTTTGATTTTGTAACAAATAAAATTAAAAATCGAGTTCCATAATCATATCAAATAAAACTTAGACAATTTATTTTGTTTTTAAAATAAATAAATCGGACATTTCATATTAAAATAAAATCGCTCATTTTATACCATAAAATTGGACATTTATTAATAACTATGTATTTCTCACCAAAAAGTAAAAATGACAATCAGATACCTAAAATAAAATCGCTAACTTTATCTCAAAATAATATTTATTTGGTTTTTGCCAACTTTATACCATGAATAAATTAATTAAATTATAGAGGTTGGAATTTTTAATTTTTTTTTAAAAAAAAAGACCAAAAATATTAATTTTAAAATTTCTAAGCAGAATCTTAGTTTGTATTAATTCAACTCTTATTACAGATTTTTTCAAAAAAAAAAAACTCTTATATATATATATATATATATATATATATATATATATATATATGTATGTATATGTGTGTGTGTGTGTGAAATACTTTCGAGGCTTGATATTATTGCCTTATTTAAGAGACACCCCTTCTAATTTATTAAATATAACAATCAACCCGCTACGTTTGATTTTGAATCAAACCTCAAAGCTACTAATTTTCTATCTTTATTCTTTCCTTTGTGTTAATTAGATCAAACATCAAAATTCTATTGAAAAGAGCTTTTTTTTAATTATCATTATCTTGACCAGAAAAAAAATTTATTCTATGGTCAAAACAATGTTTCTAAATCCCAACCAATTTTTTATTTATTATTATTATTATTATTATTATTATTATTATTATTATTATTATTAATTTTTCGTTCTAACTTTTTCTTAATACATATTAAAAAAAATCAAAAATTCTATGGAGCCATCGGATTGTTTTCTTATGGAGCCATCCATCACTTAATATAGTGACACCTGTCTAAATTATATTTATCGTAGGACACGTGTCAATGCACTATTGGTGATTAAGTATGAATTGCTCCATAAGCCGAGCCATCTGATGGCTCCATAGCAAACCTGTACCATTAATAAGCAAAAGTACAAATTCCATTTGTTGATCAATTAAGAATTTGGTAAAAGGGGGTCACTTAATGTATGCAAGCTACTTAATTAGCGAATATCGAGACTACATTTGAAGATGACAAACTCAAATTTTGTCAGATGCAGTAAACTTGTTGAGGCAAACAAAACCATGATGTTTTAAGAAGTAAACTATAACATGGAAGATCTTCAAGCTTCCGCATATTGTGAACCTATGAAACAATATTTATCGTAAGGAATATTGAGAGAGATTAAAGAGAATATGGTTAAAACAATGCCGATAAAGAAATATATTGAACTCAATCAAATACATCCAAGATATTGAACTCAACGCCAATTCTGAATCCCAAGGGTAATACAAGCATTTCTCATTAATCTGAAATGAGTAAGAAAATTCAAAGAAATCAGTCATAAACGAATCAAGCTAATTCCAATCTTGAGCAAGAAAGTTATATTTTCACAAATAAAATTCGTATGTAGAAGGAATGTATTACTGAGGAGAGTTTAATTATGTCTGCAACTTGAGCACGAGGCAAACGGGTAAATAGAGAAGCCTGATGAAATCGAAAACAAAGATCCTTGAACTAAAAAGCAACAACCACAAGCAGTTCATATGGTTTTAAAACAAAGCATTATTCATTAAGCCGATGATAAAGACAGACCAAAACAAAGTGTGCCTTGTTTTTTTTCTGGCAAACACTAGATAGTAAAATCATGAGGCATATGAGAAAGCACAATGGGACTTCTAACTTTGTGCTTGCCACTCTCTTCTATCCAGGTGAGATAACCGTGTAGGACTTGAGCTGTAGGGGGCAGCTTGTAGCGAATGGTCAAGTTATAGCTTCCCTTGTCGTATTTGTTGTTGAAAATCAATCTCCGTGGCCAAACATGAATGTTAGTATTATTGGGGGCATCTACCTTGGCATGGAATTCGACTGGGTTATTACCATCGCCCACGTATGTAACCGTTCTTTGAAATTCCTTGGTCACGATCTTGGGTTGGTGGTTAGAAGGATAAAGGGCAATGAAGGACGGGTAGTTGAGGTCGGATGACGGGATTGAGCAGTTGTAGTCGGATCTCACAATGGTTTTAATTTGCTTCCTGGTGAGGTTCATAGAGCAGAGGTAATTCACATAATCCTGTCGGGATAAGTCATAAACTAGTCCTGGGTCGAGCGCCCGATTTGGGTCGACCTGCCCGGCCCCCATGGCTAGTGGGTCGGCATAGGCACCGGAACTCGCGTCCCGGATTCTGCTCCCGGTATTGTCGAGAGGGTTGGCCGTAGTCATGATGGCAGAGCGTACAATTGCTGGGTTCCACTCGGGGTGTGCACCTCTCAAGAGCGCCACAATACCGGAAATGTGGGGGCATGACATGGACGTGCCAGAGAGAAGCGCGAAATCGCTGCTCAGATCTATGCTCCTTCCGATGGAAGTCGACGCCACATTTGGATTCCATGAGGCCAGCACAAGGGTCCCGGGGGCCATGATGTCGGGTTTGAGGATGCCCGGGCAGCTCCAGGAGGGGCCCCTTGACGTGTACGATGCCACCATGGGGGCGGGTCTTGTCTCAACCTGCGTCTGCTGGAATATTATGCTCGCGGTCGGCCACGCACCTCTTTTGGCATACTCTATCACCCTCTGACCGTCTTTAGGGCTGACCACCACGCCGGGATACATGAACTCACCCGTTTCTTGTATGAATGTGGAGTCGCCCGAGATGTAGATTCCCGCACGGACACCTGATTCCGAGACAAAGGACATCTGGCTTAATACATCAAAATCATCATCGCACACGACAATCCCGTCACGTGCCGTGGATAGTAGATCGGTCGAGTTGCAGGATGAGAAGGTGGTGTTGTAGAAGAGAGGCAAATCTCTGACAAGGGCAGGAGATGGAAATAGGGACCAACCCTGTATGGTCACCCCATTTCCCAAGTGCAGGATACCGGAAAACAAACGGTCCACCGACCCAGCAGCAACAGTCAACAACCATGGGACCCCATTGTGCAGACTCCCAACTTCACCCGCGTTCCCAGCCGAGGCAGACACCACAATTCCTCTCTCCATCGCAGCGAAAGATGCTATGGCAATTGGGTCCTTGTATAATGGTAAGCGATCGAATCCCATGGAGATGGATATCACGTCCACCCCGTCCGCCAAAGCCTGATCCATCCCAGCAAGCACATCTGAGGCGTAGTATCCCTCCTCCCATACCACCTTGTACATGGCCACTCGAGCACGAGGCGCAATTCCTCGCATTGTGCCCTCTGCGTACCCAAAGAAGGAAGTCCCCGGGACGTAGTTCCCGCAGGCGGTGGACGAGGTGTGCGTACCGTGCCCTTCTGTATCCCTCCCCGAGTTCATGCTCAGGGATGTACCGGGATCGAGACTCGCCATCACACCCTTGTTGAAGTATCTCACCCCAATCAATTTCTTGTTGCACATTGAAGAATTGAATTCCTGCCCAGCCTCGCATATGCCCCTCCACCTGCTCGGAATCTCTGTCATACCCTCATCCCTGAAGCTTAGGCTCTCCGGCCACACGCCCGTGTCAATAACCCCGACAATCACGTCTCGACCATACTCCGAGGCTGGCCATAGTCCGGTCGAGTTGTTCAGGGACAGGAACTTGAACGTGTGAGTCGTGTCTAGCGTGACGCTAGTGTCGCGGTACGCAGAGATGAATGCGCTGGATTTTTTGAGGGCTTCGAGCTCGTCATCGGACAACAGCGCGCTGAACCCGTGAAGCGCGTGCTCGTAAGCGTACAGTATACTCGCCTCCTTTCCTGCTTCTTTTTTTGAATATTTTTCTCCACGCACAGACTTGAGGAGTGACTCGTACCAATGAGTAGAGCTGACAAAGGGTTTGGGCATAACAGATTTATCCATGTGGATAATGTAGATGCATCTCTCCACCAAGCCTGCGTACGCAAATCAGAGCCATTTAAACCAAAAACAAAAAACAAGTTTTAATAATAATGTTGCAAACTAAATTAAATAAATTACTTGAAATGTGGCTACCTGATTCCACCACCTCGTCAACAGTAGTGCTTTCTGTTTTGTTGAAAATAATAAAAAACCCCAAGAACAAAATTAATGAGACATTAGCTAATAATAATCCCATCGTGTGATTAATGATAAGAGCCAGCAAGAGATTCAATTTTTTCATAAACTGAAAGTATGTGTGTCTTACAAACAAGAGAAGATGAAGAAGCTCGACTTATTTATATGCGAGCTAAGGAAATGATCGGCCAGTGAGCAAGTGCCAAATAACCAACAAAAGCAAATAAATAAACTGTGCGCCCCATTTCGAATTCTAAGAAATAAAGGAAAATAAAGAAACGCATGCACATGCAAAACACATTATGTTACCCCTAATTAACAGAAAAAATAGACAACAATGAACAAATGTTTTAATGAAGCTGTGTCAAATATGCAAATGATCCTATATATCAACTTATGTTCTTTTCGTATTGCTGTTTTTAGTATCCAATAATTATAGATTAAATAAGCAAAAAATTAAGCACAACTTTGAAGGTACTGAAGAGAGATAAGTTATTGTCTTTGTTTATACTTAGCATATGAAAACGAATTTGTTATATTTTTGCACAATTGGTTATACTTAGCTATCATAAGAAAACGATTTTGTTATTAATTACATTCTCCTATGTCAGTACGTGGAGTTTAATTCTCTGTATACGTTGAACATTGTAAAATTATAATTACAAATTTTACATTTTATTAAAAGTATATGAATTTTGTATATGGTAAAACAATCAAAGTTTTTTTCTCCGCTTTAAGATTGTCTATTCTCCTGTTGGAGGCTTTGTATTCTCCCATTGGGGAATGTGTACTTTTTCGTTGGGTAGCTTTTGTGTGTTTCTAGTGTTGTGTTGTGAATCTAGGTTACCTCTCGTAGGCCTCCCCATTCGACTACTGAGCCAGTTGTAATTACATGTTTTAGTAATGAATTTTATCGTTTCGAAAAAAAAAATCAATACGTAATGGCCAATAATTATTAATAGGTACAAGAAACAAACAATTTTACTACAATAAGTAATCTAAAATATAGCCTGATATACTCACTTAAGAAAT